GCTTATCCTACTGAGCCATCTCCCTGGCCCCCTGCAAGCACTTATTCTACTAAACCATCTCTTCTGCCGCTAAGTTAGGAATATTTTCATAGCAGGTTTGTTGAATACTAAGGATGAACCCACTTAGCACCAAAACTAGATCTCTAGCCAGAACTTTTTTATTATTTATTTATTTATTTATTTGTGTGTGTGTGGCCAGCTCAGCCCACCAGGGGGCGGGCTGGCTGGCATGTGGTGCTGTGGGATTGAACCGCGGTCCCTGGGCTTTGCTAAGCTTGTTCTAAGTAGGTGCTTTAGACCACTGAGCCATCTCACCAGCCCTAGCCAGAACTTTTTAAAATTTGATTTCATTGTTTATTTGACTTAGTGCAGTTCTGTTTTTGTTTGTTTGTTTGTTTTGGCAGAACCAGGGATTGAACTCAGGCCCTTGCACTTGCCAGGCAGGCGCTTATTTTACTGAGCTATTTCCCGGGCCCTGTTTTTAAATTTTTTTTTTTTTACGTATTTAGTACAGGATCTATAGGGTCTCACTACACAGCTTGGACTTGTAGTAATCCTCCTGTTTTCAGCCTCCTCAGCCTCCTGAGAGCTGGGGTTACAGACACATCACCATGCCAGTCTCAGTCGTGCCCAGTGTCAGTCATCCTCTCAGTGCACCCTGGGGGCAGGACCAGCACCAGCATGGCACTCCAGATGGAATCCCAGTTCCTGCATCTGCTTAAGCAGGCACTTTAATCTGCTGAGGGTTTCACTGTGGTCTATACTAGCCTTGGACTCACTATGTAGCCCATGCTGACCTGAAACACATAGATTCTCCTGTCTGATGTTCCCAACTGCTGAGCTTACAGGTATGCCTCACCATACTAGGGTTTCTTTTTATTTATTTTGTATTTATTTTTTGCCATACTGGGGATTGAACTCAGGATCCTGTGCTTGCAAGCATGCACTTATTCTACTGAGCTATCTTCCCAGTCCATATTTTTAAAATATGAGGCAGTTTCAGTCACTAGTTTGCCCAGCATAGACTCAAATCTGAGCTCATTCCTTCCAGAGCCTCCAAGAGTTCTGGATTACATATTCTACCATACCTAACTGAAAGTAGTACAAAGATTGGTTCAATGAAGAGGCATTCAATGTACTTTGCAGTCAGTGGCAAAATAGAATTCTTTTGTTGTATCAGGCCTCTACTAATGAAAATATGCTATATTACTGGGTTTTGTATTGTTTATAGATAGGTATCATGTTTTCTAAATCTAATTTATTGTCTTTTTTTCTAAATTACTCACTTTAGGTCTAATGATACAGTAAAAAATGTAGCAAAAGAAAGAAAAAACTTCAAGTTAAATAAAGTTTCTAAGGTACATTTAATTGACCTAAGTTTAGTAATTGCATTATAATTTGATAAGTAACTGACCTACTATGTATCAGTATACAGTACTTCATTTTGTATTTGGATTTTTTTTTCCCCTTAGTACTGGGACTTGAACTCCGGACCTTGCACTTGCCAGGCAGGTGCTTATGCCCTGAGCTATCTCCCTAGTCCTTATGCTAATTCATTTTGCTTGTCTTCATCATGCCTTTGATTAGAACCTGACAGTGTTGCTTTCTTTTTAGCCGTGTACTACCAACAGTCCAGATCAAAAGCAATGGGGATACTGAGGCATGAACAATAAAATGTTTTCTTTGCCTGTCTTTTCACTGATATGGATTGAGTTGGTTTGTTTTGTTTTGTGACTGTAGCTTGATTTATATATAGTTTTAGGCTGGCAGTGAATTGACTGTGAAACCCATATTAGCCTTAACCTCATAGCACTCTTCCTTCCTTAGTCTCCTGAGTGCTTGGGTTACAGCTGTGTGCCACCATGCCTGTCTTGAGGTTTTGTCAATGTTAAAAGTTAAATGGAATATCAAAATTGAAATTAAGATATAAAAAAAAGAGAGAGACTGGGTGTGGTGGCACACACCTGTAATCCCAGCACTTGGAAAGCTGTAAACAGGCATATCACTACGAGTCTGATCTAGTAGTCAGACCCTGAACACCCAGTAGACCCTTCCCTAAAAGTAAATAAATAAATAGTTTAAATGTAATAAAAATTAAATTGTTTTTAATTTATTTGAAAGAGTTGGTTTGCTTATTTGAACTGTTACTCTGCTGTATATTTCAGTACTTTTTAATGGTGATTTGGGAATTCCTGTAACACCACTGTTCGTTATGGAAACTTGAATATTAGGAAAAATTAAATTGAGCCATTATTTGTAGAACATTTAATATTTCCTTGAAAGATCATTATATACACACATAATTTATAGATTGTCTAAACTATGACCTATTTACATTACTTACATGATTAAATCTAAAGTCAATGGCTATGGCACTAGGGTGCTACAACAAAATGTAACCGGGCAAATAGTCAGTTTTAGTATCTAGTACAGGTTTATCACAAGTACAAAATTTGAATTTATATAGTTTACATTTGTAAGAAAAAAAATAAAATTGCAATGATACTTTGATTGTCAATCTATGTTTCAAATTTGTGTTCAAACATCAAAAAGTCTGAAAACAACATTTTTCCTGTAAGAAATAATGGAAAAGCAAGTTATTTGTTCTGAGACCCCAAAATTACATTTATCAAACCTTTTTTCCAGAACTGTGGTTATCAGTTTTCTGTTTAGCTTTACTGCGAATAACACTTTGTTCGGAGTTATGGTTATGACATTTTACATAAAGTGCAAAAAAAAAAAAGTACAATAATGAACATTTTAATGCATTAACACAAATACTATATGTTGTTTGGGTAGGAGGGGTACTTGGCCTGGGCTATCACCCTTTTTTTTTTTTTTTTTTTAATGTGTGTGTGTGTGTGTGGCCAGCTCAGCCCACCAGGGGGCGGGGCTGGCTGGCATGTGGTGCTGGGGGATTGAACCGCGGTCCCTCTGCTTTGCTAAGCTTGTTCTAAGTAGGTGCTTTAGACCACTGAGCCATCTCACCAGCCCCCATCACCCTTTTGTGTACACAGAGAAATGCAACACCTGACTCACTCTTGACCCTATACAGTTCTTCTTGAATTTGGGTGTTTGGTTCAACTATTGAGCCAAGTTATAAATACCAAACAGATTTCTTTAAACTTTGTTGTCCAAGTAGTGGTTGAGTTTGGAGCCATTTGAAAACAAAAGTATCACTGTATTTGTATTTAGTGTTAGGCAAAAGTGATTTATTTCCAATAAAAAGAATTAAACTAGAGAGTCATTGTTATTTTAGTCTTGTAAATGAATAACTTTAATTCACTGCAGAAACATGTTTAAATATGATATCTTAAATTCTAGGATATAAAAGATGGCAAGTCCAGATAGAAGTAAGCGGAGGATATTAAAAGCCAAAAAAACAATGCCTACAAGTTGCCGGAAACAAGCAGAGATCCTGAATAAGTCGAAGACTATTGAAGTCCTGAAAACAACAGTTGAGAATAATGTTCCAAATGGTAATCAGAATTCAAGTACTGAAGTTATAACTAGAGAATGTAGACATCCTGAAAGTGTTGATTCTTCATTGGACTCTATGATAAATTCTGCATTTTTACTAAAAAGTATAGGATTCCCTCAGAAATTAATAAAACCTGTAGAAAAAGTTGTTGATTCAGAAACAAGATTTGAACATATTGGTGAACAACTTACATGTTCTTTCAAGAAGCCAAGAAAAGCAGTAGATTCTCCCAGCCAATTCTGTAGACAAGACGTAAAAGAGAAATGGAGTACTTCTGAAACTCATTTTGAATATAAGGCAAATGTAACATCATCCTTTTTTCAAAATGAACAGAACTCTAATCTAAAATCTATTTGTCATTCACCCATTATTTTGAGTGATGTAGCTCAGAATCCCTTCGATGACAACGGAATCAACAAGATACCTTCCAGTTTAGAAATAAACTCCAATTCAGAGTCACATGATGAAAAGCAAAGTGACATTTTAAGTTCAAACTCATGTTGTGTGCCGGCTGCAAAAATGCCTAACTTGATGAATGTAGTTAGTTCCAGCAACTGTGCTGCTAACACTTTGAAAACTAAAGAATCCAGTGGAACCCAACACTCTAGCATTTCAGACTGTGAAAATGTAGACTCAAAGCAGCAGTGCTTACTCAACACTGAGGATAATAACAGTAAGTATATATGGGATATCTTTTGGAGATATTAAAAAGTACTTTCCTTTAGGCGATTTTAACATCTCAGCTATACAAATAAGTAGAATACATACAAGCAGGAAAAAGATAAATTAATATTTCAGAATGTCTTGGTCATGAAGTGTTCTTGGTGGGGAGGGTAAAAGATTTTTTTTTTTTTTTTTTTTTTTTTTTTCCTGGAACCAGGGATTGAACTCAGGCCCTTGAGCTTGCCAGGCAAGCACTTATTCTACTGAGCCATCTCCCTGGCCCCAAGATATTGTTAAAGAAAAATTACAACAAAGCTAGTTTTGTAGGACTTAACTGGCTTTATTTGAAATCCTATAATTGGGAAGCAATGAGGACCAAAATGGTTGAAGAAAGCTTCCCACCACATGGATAAGTTATTTTGGTAGTCAACAAGAAGTGAGGTTACAGAATCAGCCTGGTTGCTTGAAGTTTATATCTGTCATGCTTGGGTGTGTTTTGATCACTTTGTCCCTTTTGATTTGAAGCCCTTTTTTTTTCTTTTTTTTTGCGGAACCAGGGATTGAACTTAGGCCAGGGAAGCGCTTATTCCACTGAGCCTTCTCCCTGGCCCTTGTTACTTTTGATTTGAGACAGTTACATTTTGTAAGATTAGGGTACAGTTCATTTGTTATAGCAGTTTTAGATTTACTGGTGGTGTGACCCTGGTGTTTCTTACAGAGTAATCCTTGATGGTGAGTTATTCTGGCATTTGAGAGACATCTGTGTATGTGATTGTTTTGCACTCATGACCAAGTGGAAGACCTTTACTTGAAGGGGGTTATCCCAGAGTCAGTTTAGCTGCATCTTAATTAGAGTGACAGCAGCCAGTAGGGCACAGAAGCTAGAAGGCCATTCAGCCACCACGATGTTTAATAGTCTATATTGGTCAGCCACTGATCTCTGCCAGGGCCTCACAGTCTTGAGTCTGGACATGTAAAACCATATGGTGCTTTTCATGTAAGATTAAATCTAATCTTGGGCTTACATTCAATAGCCAGTTCCAGTGTAGGGGTGCTGAGGAGTAGCCATTTGATCTCTTTGAAGGCTGGTTCTTGGCAGATTTCTATTTTAGGGGTTTTTTCCAACCCAGTGAGGACAGTTTAGGGGCTTAGCTTTCTCTGCAAACCCCAGTATCCAGATTCTGTAAAATCCAACCATTCCTAGAAACTCATATAGTCTCTTTTTTGTTATTTGGCCTCAGGACAGAGCTAATGGTCTGTTTGTATTCTCTCCCCAAAGAGTGGTGTCCTTACTTATAGTAAACCCCAAGTAGTGAACAGAAGGGTGACATAGCCATCCCTTTTTCCAGTACAAATTGTATCCTGTGTCCTGGAGTAGCTAAAGGAGGGTCTGTGTCTCTCCCAGCAATCCTGCTCTATTTCAGTTGCCAGCAAGAGATAATCGACATACTGGAGCAAAACACAGTTTAGTTGGGCTCCTGGGGAAGAAGCCAGGTCAGCAGCCAAGGCCTCCCCTCACAAAGTGGGGGAGTTCTTAAAGCCCTGGAGGACTTCAGTCCAATTCAACTGAGTTTTTCATTTCACTTTGGGATATTCCTGTTGAAAAGCAAATAGAGGCTGACTTTGAGTAGCTAGGCTCAAGCAGAAGGTATCTTCAAGGTCTAGGCAGATGAACCAGGTTTCCTTGGGTGAACATAGGCTCATCAAAGGGTGGGGCCTGGACCCACCAGGTACAGGGTTTACAGTGGCGTTTTTGACTGCTTGGAGGTCCTTACTGGTTGATAACCACCAGTTAGTTTCTTGTCAAGCAGTATCGGGTATTCCAGAGTGACTGACATTTTATCAGGATTCCTGCTTGCTCCAGTCAGTTTACAAGCTTACAATCTGTACCTCCCTGGCTATCCATACTGCCTCAGCCTGACAGGGTTGGTTCCTAGCTTGAGCTCCACTAGGATTGGAGCCCGAGTTTTGGACAGTCCAGTGGAGACTTTTTAGCTCATATCTCTGAGTATGCTTCTCACAAGCCTGGAGGGTTAACATCTCCTTGATCTGGGGTATGTAGTCACCATTCTTCTTAAGGAATTATCACCGACAGAATGAGACATTCCTCGTTATTGAGAATCAGACTGATGGGTCTCTCAGGTGAGAAGGTCACTTGGGCTCCAAGTTAGATTAGAAGATCTCTCCCTAAGAGGTATATGGGGCAGTCAGGCAGGTAGAAAAATTCATAAATTACCTCATGTCCTCCTGGGTACTAGAATCAAGGCCACCTGAAGGGGCAGGCTGCTTGGGACCAGGTCACACCCACAATGGTAACCCTCTTGCCAGTGAAAGGTGCCATCTGGGTGGTCTCAACCAAACGATCTGTTCCCGTATTAACCATAAAAGTCATTTGTTGGTCCCAACTCTCATACTGGCCATGGGTTACTGGGGGCAAGATTGATGGAGACCTTCTTTAAGTATGTGCCCCTCACCGTTGGGGCATTCCTTCTTTCAATGTCTGCAAAAAGCACATTGGTTTGGAAGCAAGAGAAAGTCCCATGTTGGTTTCCCACCTTGTATGGCAGTCCCGGTTTCCAAGTAGGGTCTCTTCTTAGTGTAACTACAAGGAGACTTTCTGTTTAATTTTTCTGTCTGCCTTATCTTGGTCTTGGTTGGCAAGAACCTTTGTGGCAACTTCAAGCAGTTGAAGCATTGTGTTCATGCTAATGAATCCTTCAAGTTTCTGGAGGTTGTGCTGAATGTAGGGGGTAATGGCTATGAATGTTACTGGTTTTCTGGGCCCTTGGTGAAAAGGTGTCAAGTTTTGGGATGCCTCACAGATTTGTTCATAGAAGTCTCCAGGTGACTCTTCCATCCTCTAAGTCACTCTGGTCGTTTTTTACTCTGATCGGCTTTTTGACACCAACCTGAACTCCCTTAGGATGGCCCCCAAGTACCTAAAAGAAAGATTGTCCTGCAGTGATCATGAAAGTCTCATGTCAGGGACTGCCTCTTTTGTCCAGTCCATTGAATCATGGTCCCCAGTGCCAAGACCCTGATAATATTTTTTGGCCTCAGTCAGGATTTTACATCACTCCTTAGGTGTTAAAGAGGGTTGGGAGCAACTGTCACAGGTGGGCAGATGGGTCTGGAAGATGGATCTAATGAGACTGATAGGGGCTTGAGGCTTTTCTGAGTAAGAGAAGGGGGTATGTTGTTTGCAGTTTGGAAGATTGGTGGTAGAGAAGTGTTGATAGCACAGAGCTGGCCAGCCAGGCTGATGGTGCCGTCCTCCAGGATACAGGTAGGAGTGTGGGTTTCATGGATGAGCATCTGGATGGAAGGGGACTGAGTGAGCTGACCATAAGTATTTGTCAGATGGGTTGGAGGCCACTCTCCAGCTCCAGACCTCTGGCTCAAGGGACCAGCATTGGTTACCAATCAGGGAACCAAATGTTACAGAAAAAAAAAAAAAAAAAAAAAAAAAAAATTTGGCTAGTCAGAGTACTGCTATGCAGATTGGCTAGTCAGAGTACTGCTATGCAGTTCATGCTGGACTTGAGCTCACTTTTTAGTGCAGGCTGGTTTCAGCCTTGCAACAATCCAGCCTCAGCTTCCCAAGTTCTGGGATTACAGCATGAGCTACTTATTCATAGCAGTTTTTGATTTACCAGTAGCGTGGGAAACACGAGCCACATTCTAGGGAAGAAGAGGGAACCAACCTTTGTTAAGCTAACTGGCTCAGAGGACAGTAAGCACTCCAAATTCTGACTCTTAAGTTCTGAGCCCTGAACATTGAGGAAGTTGGGATTTTATACCTTTGTCTTAGTTGTGCCGGCAGCAAATGGTGAAGAATTTTAAAGAAGCAGTAGTTTAGCAGGTGTTGTCATATTTCAAGGTCAAGGGGAAGCAAGGAGTAATGAGTAAAGAAAACCAAGACAATGGAAAATTCGGTTGGAGAGAAAAGTGGGGTCTTAGGGTGGTCTATTTTCTGCATTACACTATGTACAGAAAAATATTTGGGCCAAACTTCACTATACAGGAAGTTTTAGGCCAAACCTAATTTTAATTTAACATTTGTCTTATCAAAAGTGATTTATTCTAACAAAGAAGGTAATAATCACCTCCTGTGCAGAAAAGGTTAGGTATATGGCAGTTAATTCATTCAAACATCTTGTTATTTGAAAGTTTTTTTGAGGGTGGGTTTTTGTTTTTATTGTTTCATTTGTATTTTTTAAAGAGTATAAAATAACATTAAAACAAATTACAACTGATACAAAATTTCACTAAACAAAATAATGCACATTGGACCATAGTTATTGTATTGCATAGTGTTGGCTTCAAGTTAGTTGTTCAAATTACCAGATGTATACATGCAAAATTAGGAGAAGGAAAAAAAGAAAAAGGTTATAAGAAATTGAGATTAAAAAAAAAATTTTGGAAAGACATACAAAAAAAGCATTAACTGCTCCTTTCCACAGGCCAGCAGAAATCCACAGTACAGTTATCCAAACCATCCTACTTACATAGACACATCTCTTTCCCCTACTCCCTCTTCTGTCCTCACCTCAGTAATTCCTTTCCTTTGAACAGGTTCATTCCCTTTTCTTTTGTTTTAAATTGTTGATGAAGCTGTTTCTTTGTTTGTTTGTTTGTTTGTTTGTTTTTGAGACTGGATCTCATGTAGTTCAGGCCAGAATTAAATATGGTTTGTAGCCCAGACTGGCTTTAAAGTTGAGATCTTCCTGCCTCAGCCTCCCACATGCTGGGATTACAGGTATGTGCCACCATGACCAGCTATTTAAGCCTTTTCTTACCACATGGGCTCTAGCATATGTTCAGTGACAAATATATCCATAAATATAAATTTATTTGTGTGGAGAGACTATATACCAAGTTATTATAAAGTCAAGTTCTGGTGTTACAAAGTTACTAAAATAACAAAACTAAGTCATTAGAGGTAAAAGTTTTTATATTGGATATGAAATAGAGAATACTGATTTCATAAAATTGTTTTTGTATGGGTCAGAGTAATCAGTAAGATGAATTTAAAGTTGTTTAAATGAATAGGCTCACATATGAAAAATAAGACTGTCTGATGGGGCTGGTGAGATGGCTCAGTGGTCTAAAGCACCTACTTAGAACAAGCTTAGCAAAGCCCCGGGACCATGGTTCAATCCCCCAGCACCACATGCCAGCCAGCCCGCCCCCTGGTGGGCTGAGCTGGCCACACACACACACACACACACACACACACACACATAAATAAATAAAATTTAAAAAAAAAAAAAGACTGTCTGATCAACTGTTTATAAAAATAATGTAGGCTCCTTAAGTATAAGTAAATGAGGTTTTTTTGGTATATACATACCAATTTAAATTGAAGAGGGAATTTATCTGATGCTAGAACTTTATCTCAGAGGTTTTTGGTTTTCAGTATTTGTAACAGAACAGTTTGTGGGAATATTTTTATGCAATTAAAGTTTCTCAAAAATGCTATTGTCATATTTTACCTTTTCCATTTGTTTAAAAGTGTCCTTCTTATCATTTTCTTCTTTATAAGGAGTATTTTTATCTGTACTCTTTTCATTTCCTCAAGGCCACAATCAAAAGAAGATGTGTTCAGAAAACAAAGAAAATGTTAAGCACATGAAAACATCAGAGCAAATTAATGAAAATATTTGTGTCGCTCTGGAAAGGCAAACAGCAATGCTGGAACAGGTAAAATATTGAGGCATAAATATGTGCTTAAGAAAGTTTTCCTTTTTTCTTTTCTTTTCCATAATTTTATTGAGAAACAAATAGCAGTGAGACAGTTTCAAATCAAATTGGTAGGACAGTTTCAATAATTAAGAAAGTTTTCCTTTTGATTAGTAAAAATTGTTAAAAGCTAATTAACTGACCTTCACAGTTAGATAGTACGGATGACTATAATTTGGTGCAAAGCTTATAGTGTGTGAGAACTGACCTAGCAGACAGTTGATCATTTGTGTCACCAGAGGATCTCTGATTGCTCACGTCTCTAGTTTTTCCAAAGTGCTCCCAAACAAAGTGACCCAGAGAATCATTTATGTAGCATCCTCTTGTAGAAAGAAAGTGGACATTTTATGTCAAATTTTTGAGTAAGTCAGACAATAAATGACTTTGCCAAATAATTAGTTTATTTTGTTCTGGTGATAGAATTGTTTTATCTGTAGCTATAAAAAAAGCTATATAGCTTTTTTTTTAATTTGAAGATTTTTATTAGCTGAGCTCAGCAACCGTCAGCATAGACCCGTTTCAGTGTCTATCCAAACTCTGTAGCTATAGCTTTTTGTAGATCTCATCATACTTGTTATAGTTTCATAGACTCAGGTAGCCCAGAAGTCCATTGCAAAATCATGCTTCCCTTAATATTCAGATGAACAAGAGCTAGGGAGATAGCACAGTAGAATAAGCACCTGCCTGGCAAGCATTAGCTGGCATTTTGTTTTACAGCACCACTGAACATGCTTGTTTTCATTTTGCCTCATGTAATTTTGTTATTGTACAATGTCCATACAAGTTTTTTTGTTTGTTTTTATTTATTTGTGTGTGTGTGTGTGTGTGTGGCCAGCTCAGCCCATCAGGGGGCGGGGCTGGCTGGCATGTGGTGCTGGGGGATTGAACCGCGGTCCCTGTGCCTTGCTAAGCTTGTTTTAAGTAGGTGCTTTAGACCACTGAGCCATCTCACCAGCCCCATACAAGTTTGATCAACTCTTTTTTTTTTTTTTTTTTGTGGAACCGGGGATTGAACTCAGGCCCTTGTGCTTGCCAGGGAAGCACTTATTCCACTGAGCCATCTCCCCGGCCCTGATCAACTCTTAAGTTGAAGTAAATGAGCTTAAATTTTAGTAGAATGTCTATAATTAGCACCTGATTTGAAGATTAGTGGTACTGTATTAATACCTCTAGAACACTACCAATAGAAGAGATTATATGGCAGATAAATGCCCTCTTAGCTGCAATAGACCAAAACTTCTCAATCCAAACCATCTTACTTGTTTTAGGGAAAAAAATCACTTCTGTTTTCAGAAACATCATTACAGTTACATAGTTGAAAACCTATGAATATGTATTTACTTAATAATAAAGCCTTCCTTAAAAGATTCATTCAGAACCAGCTTAAAAGGTAAGTTGTCAATTTTTCTCTTACCTCCTGTTTTCTCCATCATTGCCGATGGAGACATTAATTAAATTAAGAAAAAAAGTAATTCTTCTGTTGCTGGCAAAGAAGAGGTGTATCGAGCTCTAGGACCACGTTATTTGAAGTAAATAAAAAGGTTGAGGAGTCCATCTGTGTTTCCAGTGATCAGTGGCTACTTACCAAAACAAGTTATGTTTATATCAACATAAAATTTAATGGGGTCTTTGAACGTTTTAATTTCAGTGGCATTCGAAAATATCATGGTTCTCAGTACAATTGTGTACTTTACAAAATACTCAGCCCAACTTGATTCACACAAAATAGTACTTCCCAGTGAACTTAAGTAATCTAGGAGTTTCTTATATATTCTTTTTAAAAAAAAAAAAAAAAAAAAATTATCTATTTGGTGCAAGTTCTCACCACACAGCTCAAACTTGGAGTGATCCTCCTGCCTTAGCCTCCCCTGTGCTGGGATTATAGGCATGCGTCACCATGCCTAGTTTGGGTGGCTGGTTTGGCACCCAGGGACAGCACAGCATGTGGTACCGGGGATCAAACCCAGATCCTTGTGCTTGCCAGGCAGGCACTTAGGCTGCTGAGCTATTTCCCCACCCTCTCTTATACATTCTTGTATAAGAGACAGTTTGTATATTAGCTAATTCACTTTTCTTATCTCTAGTTAGCTTTCTACTTGTTGTAATTTTGCTTGTATAACTGTCTCTGTACCATACCTGGTACTTTGGTTTTGCAGTGCTAGGGTCTGAAACTAGGGATAAGCAAGCACTCCAGCACTGAGCTGGATAATTCCAGCTCTTGAAACCCTATCCATTTTGTTTTTCCCTATTGAGAAAGTTCTAGAGCTATTGTCTCTGATCTTTTGAGATTTTGAAAGGATCTGGGCCTGGCTGACTCCAATTAGATTACTGATCCTCCAAACTCCAAATTATTCAATCTGTCTTTAGAAAGTTGAAACAAATTGGGGGTATATAAATTTGTGCTTTTTATAAAGCTTAGGTGAGATTAGCTGTCATTTGCAAATTGAAACCAGGTTTCTGTCCATTTACATTGGGTATATTACAATTGCTAAAAGATATTTGTGAGGTATTTGGTGGAAATCATTGTGGGTTTTTTTTTTTTTTTAAATTTTATTTATTTATTTATTTGTGTGTGGCCAGCTCAGCCCACCAGGGGGCGGGGCTGGCTGGCATATGTGCTGAGGGATTGAACCGCGGTCCCTGTGCTTTGCTAAGCTTGTTCTAAGTAGGTGTTTTAGACCACTGAGCCATCTCACCAGCCCCCACTCTGAGTTCTTGTTTAAAGTGTGACTTTCTTGAACTAACAAGTTAAATGTTACTGTTTTCTCAAACTTACCTAGTGAGAATCATTGGGGACCTGGTAATTATAATTTTCTTATGTCTTTTCCTAAGAATTCTTTGGATTCAGGATGTGACTTAGGAAATTGTGATTTTAAACAAGTATCAGATGTGAGGTTTTCTTTTCATACAAGTTCACAAAGAATTGAGATGTGTTCCTCCAAGGTGTCTTGAGTATGAGCTTTGCACATTGACTCTAGCGAGTAAACTAACTTGCATGTAGTGATCCATGAAAAGCATAGTTTAAAAATGCAAGTAATTGCTTTCAGTAAAAATGGTGTGTCCAAGCTTTGGTTAACATACTGAATTAAATAATTTGAATACTCTGTTACATTTAAATATATGTTGAAGCATTAGAGAAGAGTTCAAGTAAATGACAGTGTTAAAAGAGTAAAAATAATTGGCAACAAGAAAAAATGTTGGAAGGGGCCGGGGAGATGGCTCAGTGGAATAAGCATTCCCTGGCAAGTGCAAGGGCCTGAGCTCAATCCCCGGTTCCACCAAAAAAGAAAAAAAAGAAAAAAATGTTGGAAATAATTAAAATGGTATAAAACTGTAGAATTAATTATCCAGGTGCTATCAGTATGAAAGAGTTTTAACATAGCCATGTCTACCATACCATGAAATTATATTGGGGTTCCTACTGTTTGTGTGTGTGTGTGTGTGTGTGTGTGTGTGTGTGTGTGTAACCAGGTATCGAACTCAGGCCCTTGCACTTGCCAGGGAAG